CACCCTATTACACGTCTCTGTTTGCATAGTTGCATAACAGGTATCACCTGAAATGTTTACCTGTTTTGTGAATCATGCACAGCTGTTCTCCGCACTCCAGGCAAGAAACTGCTGCGATTAGGTATCCTGTCTATGTTCTCTTTGGCATATAGCAGTGGCTCAATTCCTGACTGTCAAGGACGCCCCTCTCCCGTCCGCAGGTGCGGCCAGTGTGGCCAGGGCCTGGAGCACCACCTTTGACCACCTGATTGGAAGCCACATCTCCAGGGCCCTGGAGGGAAGCCTCTCTCTGCATTTACCCCCACCTCTGGCCAAGTACCCAGACTTTTTTGCCCTGGGCCTGGTGCTGCTGCTCACTGGTGAGGCAGGGGTCTGCGCTAGGCTGGGGACTTGGGGTGTGGAAGGTACTACGGTGGTACCATGGTGGCTTCAATGACGTTCTGGGCTGGATTCTACTGTGTGGACAGCTGCTGTGGGCATTGCAGAACGTGTGTGTGTGTGTGTGTGTGTGTGTATATATATATAAAATATATATTTTATCGTTGTTGGTTATTTTCATTTTCATCTTTTCTATCATTGTAGGATGTTGAGCTTCACCCTTGTCTCTACTCACTAGATGTCAGTGGCACCCACTCCCCAAATAGAGTCAATGAGAAAGTCTCCTGTCATAGCCCCGTGCATAGTCAGAAGCTTCACCAGAGCCAGAGCGGGGAGCAGAGCAGGCAGAATGACAGTACACTGCTGAGGGGAGCACGGCAGGAGAGGTCTGCGCGCCATGTGGGACCCTCCTCAGGTGGCCGGGGAGCAGCCGGGGATCGAACCGGCGCTGTGGAGGCTGCGGGCAGCTTCACAACCCAGCGCTCAACCGCTGGGCCACCGGGGAGGCCCAGCCCCGTGCTTCTTGCAGGACAAACCATTCAGCTGAGAACCACTGACTTAGAATGAGAAGTATCTTCCTCTGGACTGAGACCAAAAAATATTTTTTTAATTTTAACTAAAAATCACCTAATGTAAAAGGCTTAGTCATTCCATTATTTTTATTCTACCTTTATAAAGCATCATTGACATTCAAATTGAAAGTGTACCATGTGCTGGTTTTACACATGCATATATTTATTATCTTGCTACAGTAAAAATTACCAAAATAAAAAAGGTTATGCTTACATATGCATGTATATGTTAGCACAAAAAAATATAAGAAACTAACCAGGTAGGGCCTCCCTGGTGGCCTAGTGGTTAAGTCTCAGTGCTATCACGCTGTGGTGGCCTGAGTTCAATCCCTGGCCACAGAGCTGACACACAGGGCACAGCAGACGTCTTTTGTCTCCCTGCTGCTCCCCTTAACAGTGGATTTCAGTGGATCTGCCTGTTCTGCTCCCCACTCTGTCTCTGGTGAATCCTCTCACCCCCGCACCTTTGGCCTACACCCCAGCTCTTCAATAAATAAATAAATCTTTTTAAAAAGAGAGAGAAAAAGAAACTGACCAGGAGCACTTGGCGCATTTGTAGTGACTCCCATCCAGTGCCAGTACCTTTTTATTCCCCGCAAAGGAAACTCCGTGCTCCTACAACAGCCTCTGCCTGTTCACGCTGCTACCAGTCCTGGTGCCACCCTTCTCCTTGCTTCTCAATGGGTTTATTTCAGATGTTTCATATTCCACCTCCCGCACAGGAATACTGGCTCTGGGAGGCAGAGAATCCGCTCTGGTCACCAAAATCTTCACGGGTCTGAACCTCTTGGTTCTGGGCTTCATCATCACCTCCGGCTTCATAAAGGGAGATGTGCACCACTGGCGGCTCACGGAGCGGGACTACAAGTCGGCCGCTGAGCACAATCACACCTCCAGGTTAGGGGTCACTGGGCCACACTGGTGGCTGTGGGGGTGCAGGGTCGGGAATGTGGTGGGGAAGGAGATGTAGGCCGGGGACCAGGTGATGGGGGATGGAGCCGAGGCTGAGCGGCTCCGGGGTGACCCCAGGAGAGAGGGTTGAGCACCCCCATGTTTTCCCTCCCTGCAGCTTGGGCCCTCTGGGCTCTGGAGGGTTTGTACCTTTTGGCTTTGATGGGATTCTCCGAGGAGCAGCCACCTGTTTCTACGCCTTCGTTGGTTTCGACTGCATCGCCACCACGGGTAACAGTCGTTCTGTGTCACATGAGTGCGCTGGGCGCAGCCTGCCGTGTCTGGGGCCAAGGGGCTGGACGGCAGCCTGGTCCGGGATGGATGGACAGAGGCTTCTGTTCTAACATGTTTCCTTCTGCCCGTCCTGCAGGAGAAGAGGCTCGAAATCCTCAGCGGTCCATCCCCCTGAGCATCGGCATCTCACTCTTCATCTGCTTTTTGGCATATTTTGGGGTCTCAGCGGCTCTCACGCTGATGGTGCCCTACTACCAGATTCACCCTGACAGCCCCCTGCCCGAGGCGTTCCTCAAGATTGGGTGGGGCCCTGCCAGATACGCAGTGGCTGTTGGCACCCTCTGTGCGCTCTCCTCCAGGTCAGTGTCAGCTTCCTCCCGGGGGGCCTGAGATGCTGGGGTCCAGCCCTAGGCTTGGAGAGGAGAGGGAGACACCGTAGTCCACGCGGGCTGCCCGGCAGGCGCCCTGGTCTGTCCTGCTCCCACGTGTCCTGACACACGCTCCCTTTCCCCGCCAGCCTCCTGGGGTCTATGTTCCCTATGCCCCGGGTGATCTACGCGATGGCAGAGGACGGGCTCCTTTTCCGGGGACTCGCCCGCATCCATGACCGCACTCGTACCCCCGTTGTGGCTACCATAGTCTCAGGAATTCTTGCAGGTAAGTAACAGAAGCCCACTCCTGGGGTGCAGGCCAGAGGCACAGGAGGTGAGAAAATTCACCAGAGACAGAGTGGGGAGCAGAACAGGTGGATCCACTGAAAACACTGCTGAGGGGAGCAGCGGGGAGACAGGAGAGGGCTGCAGCTCCCTGGCTGGAGATCGAACTCGTGCTGCAGTGGCTGCAGATAGCTGCATGGTGCTGTGCCTAACCCCTTGTGCACCAGGGAGTCCCCCAAAACCCAATACTCCTTTGCTCAGTTCCTAGACATGGACATGTCCAGTAGTTCTCACCCCTCCCTGCCCTGTCTGTGCCCTTTTTCCAGCACTCATGGCGTTCTTCTTCGAGCTCACGGACCTCGTGGACCTCATGTCCATTGGGACTCTGCTTGCTTACTCCCTGGTAGCCTTTTCTGTTCTCGTGCTCAGGTGAGACTGCGCTACACCTTGATTCGAGGTGGGGACCGTTGGACCCTTGGGGACTGACTGGGGCTAATCCTCTTTACCTTCTACTAAGTGGTGCTGCTATGCTTAGTGTAGGAAAAGAGGTGGATTCACCTGTCTAATGTTGGGTGAGTAGAGCTATTTTTGTTTTTGTTTTTTTTTTTTTTTTTAAAGATTTGCCTATAGAAGAACTAAGGTGCAAGCCAGAGGTGCGGGGGACAAGAGGATTCACCAGAGACAGAATGGGGAGCTCAATAGGCAGATCCACTGAAATCCACTGCTGAGGGGAGCAGCAGGGAGACAGGAGAGGTCTGCTGCTCCCTATGGGTCAGCTCTCTGGTGGCAGATGGAACTCAGGCTGTGGTGGTGATAGTGCTAAGATGTAACCCGCTAGGCCTCCATGGAGGCCCACTAGGGCTGGCTTTAACCTTGCCTTAACACCTCACATTCAGATACCAACCAGAGCAGAATGAAACTTTCACCCAGAATGAGAAAATGGAGGTGGAAATGACTGACATGAAACCTAAAGTTGATGGACATTCTTTGGAATCTGTACCTGAAGCTGGAATCTCCAAGGGACTAAAGAGTCTGTGTAACCCTCTCAGCACTGTTCCCACACTGAAATCTGGCCAGATTGTCTATGGATGTGCCTTATTGCTTGGTGAGCAGTGGCATTTCTCTTTGGGGCGTTCTAAAATTGACAGCATGGGTGGGAGTGTGTGACTTTGGCAGCTAAGGAAGAGTCTTGGCGATTTGGTTGTCATTATCATGGGCGGTTTTGGTGTAGACCTGAGCCAAGACTGACATATGTGGCTTCTGGACTTGGACCTGCTCTCCTTCTTGACCCTTGCAGCGCTCCTGCTCATAATCTTGTGCCTGATACTGTCTCAATTGTCCAGTCATCTGTCCTCTGGAGAGCCAGTGTCTATAGTAGTGACTGGGCTGCTGCTGGTGGTCATTTTGGGGATCACTGTCATCATTTGGAGACAGCCCCAGAGCCCCATTCCACTTTACTTCAAGGTAGGTGGCCTTCTGTCCCTAACTTCCACTTGTGTGAGAGAGCTCTCTGCATGCCTTGAGGACTAAACATTCTTTGCTGGACCAGGTGAGAAAAAGATCCTTGATCAAGTCAGTGGGTCATTCCCTGATCCACATGCAGTTGCTGGTTCACCTGCCAATTTTTATCCCCGAGGAAACATGTCATGGGATACCCAGTATGAGTGGGCAGGGAGTGCACACCCTGAACAGAACTGGGGTCTTCTTCCCACCAGGGGGAGGATATCTTCTATGGAGAGATCTGCGTGTGTTCATTGCACTGACTTCCTCCACAGGTGCCTGCTGTGCCTGTCATCCCACTGTTAAGCATCTTTGTGAATATTTACCTGGTGATGCAGATGACTGCTGGGACCTGGGTTCAATATGGCGTCTGGATGGCAATGGGTAAGTGACTTTGTATAAGAGACCTCTTGGCTGATGGACTCCATCACTGCAGCCATTCCCCAGAATTGTCCCAACAGTGTAAGTGGGAGTCCCTGAATATATATTAGTTCATAGAGGACTCAATTCTTGGTCTTATTTCCCTGTAGGGTTTGTCATATATTTTGGATATGGGATCCGATACAGCTTGGAGAACAAGAATGATCAACAGCTACCGACTTCCAAGTCACAAACTCTTGACAAAAACAGTGCCAGAGTAGCCTAAGCAGAGGCCGATGCTGTGTGTGAGGCCTCTGTGTCCTGGAGGAATCTTCTGGTTCAAGGTGGAGTTTGAGCCTCTGCAGAGTGTGAAGGTGGGACACAGAGCTCTGTATGTATTTCCAGTGGATGAAATGGTTTAAATGTTGTATGGTTTTAAAGGAAGCTTTTAAAATCACAATATAGGGCCTCCCTGGTGGCACAGGGGTTAAAGTCTTAGCGCTATCAAGCGGTCGCCAGCCACTGTGGTCTGAGTTTGATCCTTGGCCAGGGAACTGACCCATGTGGCGCAGCAGACCTCTCCTCTGCTGCTCCCCTCAGCACTGTATCAGTGGATCCCCCTGCTCTGCTCCCCACTCTGTCTCTGGTGAGTCCTCTCACCCCCCACACCTGACCTGCACCCCAATCTTGTATGTGTAAATAAATAAAATAAATCTTAATTAAATAAATAAATAAATCATAATATAATACAGGAAAGTACATACTAAAATGTGCAGCAAGATGGATTTTCATAAGGAAACTACAAAAGTCTCACCCGCCAAATATGAAATAAAATATTACCTGCGCATTGGAAGTGTCTTCTCATGCTACTTCGTATGACAACACAGAGGTTGTCAGAGGGAAGGAAATGATTCAGTGGAGGCTTCACGTTGTTAGGCCTTGCAATGTTGCTACTGTCAGGAAGGAGGTGTTTTCTCTGCCTCTTAGGCTTTAAAATGTACATATAAGACTTATTAGGACAGATCACGAGGAATCAGGTGCTACCATCATTTCTCCTTTTTTAAATACAACCACCAGGACACTTAAAACCCAAGTAGGGTTTTTTCGCTTTCCGTGCCATGTGTATCTATAGGGGTTGGATTTGGTCTATGGGGATATTGGAGCTGGGCCAAGGACAAAAGTGGGAACGTCAGCTGCAGGTGTGACTGGGGGCTGAGGGGAGGCCGAGAAGGCATGGATAACCTAGACCTGTGCCCCTGTGAGCCCCACAGCATTGGACGAAATGGTCATCAGTGTCCGAGACCCAATGTGAATAACCTCGGCACACTCTGTCCCCTCCTGCGCTAAGGAATCTGTGTTCTAAATGACACATCACTCAGATGGCTGCCCAGAGGCAGGTTGAGTACAGTTTGTACACAGGGTAAGACCTGACCTGGGTTCAGAGGGAGAAGGGGCAGCATAGTGACTGGGTCCTCCCCACCCCCCATTCTATATCCTGGGCGTGGCTGTGGGGCTGTGATTGGAAGCGCTGGCTCTACTCTCTCCCTTCCCCCACACCACCTGAGGCTCTGATACAGATAAGAGAAACTTAAAACTAAAGCTTCAGTGCCGCCTGCTGGGAGAAGGACATTGGGTATCCCAATGTGCAGACACAGGAAATACCATTAAAAGATTAAAAATCAGGGCCGCCCTGGTGGTGCAGGGGGTTAAGCACAGCACTATGAGGCTACCTGCAGCCTCTGCAGCAGTTCGATCCCCGGCCGGCCAGGAAGCTACCCACATGGTGTATCAGACCTCTTCTGTCTGGCCCGCTGCTCCCCTCAGCAGTGAATTTCAGTCAGTCTGCCTGTTCTGTTCCCCACTCAGTCTCTGGTGAATCCTCTCACCACCGCCCCACACCTCTGGCTTGTACCCCAGTTTTTGTATGCATAAATAAATAAATCTTTAAAAAAAAAAACCCAGCAATGTGGAATTGAAGAAAAAGAGAGATGAACCTCCAGGTAGCAAACATAAAGACAGAAATTTGTGACAGAAGTTAAGATAGTTATGATGAAGATACTTCACAAATTGGAAGACAGCAAGGAAGGGCAACTCATTGGACTCTGGAAGGAGATTAAGGACCAGAAGAACTCCAACGAAGATGCTGAGTGTAAAAAAATTAAAAACCTTAGTAGAGATCCTAATAAGAGAAATTTGAGAAATGAAATGAAGATTTGTAGAAAACAGTAAATGTTTTAGTGAAAGAATTAGTGAAACTGAAGACAGAAATTTAGGAATGACTAGTAGAAGAGGAGAGAATAAGATTCAAAAAATAAAGTGCAAGAACTATCAGACCCCAGTAGGAAAGGAGATACAAAAAATAATAGGTATCCCAGAAAAGGGAGAAAGGAACTGAGAACATACTTAAAGGAATAATAGCTGAGTGAAAAAGTTATGTAAAAAAGTAACATCTGAAAACTTCCCAAACCTAGCGATAGAAGTAAACATGCAGTAGAACATCTAAGGCAGCAGAAAATGTAGAGCAAGAGAGAGTGGAATGACATCCAATATTATAAAAGGTAGAAATAGCCAGTCCCAACTCCTCCACCTCACACAATGATCCAATATGATGGAGAAATAAAGGCTTCCTCAGACCAAACAAAGGAAAAATAAGTGAAGGAGAGTCCACCACCCAAATTGCCTCATGGGAAAGTATGATACATGGAATATTCTACATGGAAAGAGAAAACATAAGTACACAAAACTTGAGTTAGTTGACAATTGGAAGGCAGACTCCGACTGTTGCAACTCTATTGAAGCATAAGGAATAAGAGTGCATTATAACAAAAGTTAAAGAAAAAGAATTAAAACAGTCCTAGTCACTTCAAGTTGACAGTGATCTCGTAGTAAAAAGGGTAAATAGGAGACCAAAAAAGCATTAAGTTGAGGACAAAAGAATGGCTGGCGTTTGGAAGAGAGGAGAGTAAAAACTTTTGCAAATGTGGTCTATTTTTGAAAAACCAGGGATCGATCTGAAAGCTGTTCTCAAGAAGACTTTTGAGATCCATCTAGTGAACTGGTAAGGTCACACCAGTGGCTTTTTATCCTGTCTCCTTTCCCTTAAATTTCACTTTAAAACTCATACATCTCCAGTAATTTCTGTTCTTGGGATCTCTCTGTCTCTTGGGTCTTTTAATTTTTTTATTTTTTAAAAAGATTTATTTTTTTATGCATACAAGAACTGGGGTACAGGCCGAGGAGTGGGGGGTGAACTTGTATGCAGTTCTTTATGCATACAAGAACTGGGGTACAGAGACAGAGTGGGAAGCAGAACAGACAGATCGACTGAAATCCACTGCTGAGGGGAGCAGCGGGGAGACAGGAGAGGTCTGCTGTGCCCTGTGGATTTCTCTCTGGCCAGCCAGGGATCTAACTCATGCTGCAGTGGCTTCGGACAGTTTCACAGGTTGCGTCTTAACCCCTTGCACCACCAGGGAGGCCCCTTTTAGTTTTTTAATAAATATTTTAGGATGGCATTCTGCTCCTAAGCCAGTGTCTTAGAAATACGACTATTGGGCCTCCCCGGTGGCGCAGCAGTTGAGCGCTGGGTTGTGAACCTGCCCGCGGCCTCTACGGCGTTGGTTCGATCCCTGGCTGCTCCCCGGCCACCAGAGGAGGGTCCCACATGGCGCGCAGACCTCTCCTGCCGCCCGCTGCTCCCCTCAGCAGTGTACTCCGGTCCTTCTGCCTGCTCTGCTCCCCGCTCTGGCTCTGGTGAATTCTCTCACCCTCCCGTGCTTCTGGCTGTACCCAGTGCATGTGTAAACAAAACAAACAAACAAACAAAATAAATAAATAAACATGCCTCTATTAAAAAAAAAAAGAAAAAAAAAGAAATACGACTATTATGGGAATTGAGAATGTTAGTCCTAATAAAACGGGGAAGTAGGTTCAGGTGTGCTGTTGTGAAATCGAACCAGTAAAAAGACTGTCGTAAACACATGAATGCTGCTCTCTGTGGTGAGAACCAGTTCTGTTGAGTCATGTATGTGTTGACTGACAATTCGTTTCTCTTCCCTTTAAGAACACGAGAAAGGTCGGCACTCTAAACCCATTAAGGCAAGGAAAAAACAATTGTTCAGAGACCAGATAGATTTTTGTTTTCTGTGTTCTTTGGGTATTGTGTGGCTGACTATGCAGAGGATGCTCTGTGTGTGTGTGCATGTGTGTCCCCGGCACTAGAAGAGATTATATGTTTGTTTCTATGGCAGGGGAACAACTCTTAAAGTTGAGGTGTCTGTACATGGCCCGGCAGGATGGGCGTGTGCTGGTCAATTCCACTTACTCAGATATCAGGAGGATCTGACAGATGTAGGCCTTTTTTAAAAAAAATTTCTTTATTTATGCACACAAGAGCTGGGGTACAGGCCAGAGGTGTGTATGTGTGTGGGGAGGGAGTGAGAGGATTCACCAGAGACAGAGTGGGAAGCAGAACAGACAGATTGACTGAAACACACTGCTGAGGGGAGCAGCGGGGAGACAGGAGAGGTCTGCTGCGCCATGTGGGTTGCTCCCTGGCCGCAAGGGATCGAACTTGGGCAGCAGTGGCTGCGGATAACCTGGCAGCGCTGTCTTTAACCCTGTGCTACCTGGGAGACCCCACAGACATGGGCCTTTTAAGAAATAGACAGGAGTTTAATTTTTGCCCTGTGGAGCTGGCACAAGCGCAGTCACAGGAGCTGAACAGAATGATGGGGCCCCAGGGGTGTGCGTGAGGCCGCAGACCGCAGCCCCATGGCAGCGCCTGAAAGCCTGACCTTCGGGGGAGCCCCACAGGGGTTTCTGGAGGCAGGCGCCACTGCCTGCCTCCAAGCTGTCTCCCCGAATCTGCAGAACAGGTGGTTTTCAGACGCCTCGTGGGTTTCTGCTGTCTTTAGCTCCCGCTGATACCGCTTTTCCTGAGCAAAATTAAGAACAACTCCCGGCTTGACCCTTCCGTGCCCTGAGCCAGGGGATGCCAGGTCCGCAGCTGCCGAAGGGCGGGCGGGTGAGCACCAGGCAGTCGGGCGACCCGGCGCGTTCTGGATCTTGAAGTCCAAGAACCGGCTGGAGCCCAAGCCCGGGCCCGTCCGGCGTCCCCGGCGGCGCTGCGTGGCGGGTATGGCCCCTGGCTCCCCGCGCAGCCCCTTTCCAGCCGGGCCCCGGGCCGCGCACCCGGGAGGGCGTTGCGCACAGAGGGCGCTGCGCGCTCTGCAGGGGCGCAGACCCCCGGCGGCCCTGCTCTCGGGGACTGGGGTGCGGGGCTCGCGGGGGCGCAGGGGGTCGTGGGGAGAGCGGGGTGGGGTGGGGCCTGCGAGTGGAGGAGCTGTGCCTCCGGCCAGGGGCTCCCAGTGTCCCCCGCCCGGCTGTGCCTCCTGGATGCGCTCCGAGGATGGTGCCCCACGCGGGTCCGGAGATGGGGCGTCGAGAGCGGCGGGGCTCTGGGGAGGCCAGGCCCCCGGAGTAAGGTGAGGACCGTCGCTCTGGCCCACGCCAGTCTGTTCCTGGCAAGGGAAGAGCTTTCCCAAGGGGCGCTTTCCCAAGGGCCCCCCAACGCTCTGCAGTAGCTCCAGGGCTTCCTCATGCTCCCCAGAGGAGATCCCAGCAGCCTCCCTGGAGAGGGTCATGGAGGCCCGCTAGCCGCTTAGCGGGCACCACCTAATCCTCTTGGCCCCACCCAGTGCGGCCTCGCCCAGCTCCACCCACCCGGGCACACCCTGCCGCCCACCCACCCTGTCGCATTTATAAGGGTGCGCTTGGAGGCCCGGCGCCCACTGAGGTTTCCGCTCCGGTCCCACTGGCTTCGGCTCAGCCTCTGAACCCGACGCAGTGGCCCTTGATGTGCCCCCACCGTCCGGTAAGTGCTGGGTGACCCCCCCTGCAGGAGGCGGGTGCGAGCCCAGGGGCTGCTGGAAACAGATGCTCAGGATGAGGGGGGAGAGCCGCCTCCCCACTAAAGCTTTTGCAGAGCTCATGATGGGTACTTCAGACTTGAGTCTCGTAGATGGGGTGATTGCTGTATGAAACTCCCTACACCCAGCAACTGTGTGTGTGGCTAGTTCTAGTCGTTGGCTCAGTTCAGAAAAAAAAAAGTGGTAAAATACATCTAATATAAAATTTACCAATTTAACCATTTTAAAATGTACGGTTGCCTTGTTAAATATATTTGTGCTGTTCTCAACCAATCTCCAGAGCCCTTTTCACTGCACAACTGAAGCTCTGTCTCTATTCACCGGAACCTCACATTCTCCTCGCCTGCCCTACCACCATTCTATTTCCATTCTGAGACCCTGACGGCCGGAGTCTTTCTCCGAGTGCAGCCGCACAGCATTTTGGTCTTTGGCGAGGGACTAAGCTCAGTAGCCTGATGTCTTCTGGGTTCAGCCGGGTCGGAGGCCGCCTCAGAAACTCCTTCCTGAAGACTGATGTGTTCCTTTCTCTGCACACACGGAGTCTGCTCACCCCTTCCTGGTGGGGAGTGGGGTTGTTTTTAGGCTTTACCTGTTGGGAATAGTGCTTTGAGGCACGTGGGTGGAGAGAAGCCCCTTTGAGGCCCAGAAAGTTGGCTCTTAGGGTAATTCTATGTAGGAACCGCCCTACATTTTCCACAGCAGCCGCGCCATTTACACTCCTGTGAACTGTGCAGGGGCTCGTTGGCAGCATCTTAAAAAGAAGAAAAGAGGCCCAGGGCAGGAAATGTGTGTCTGCAGAGCGGTGTAGTGGGGAACATTGCGCCCCAACACAGATAGTGGGGGTGGTGGTTTGATCTTAGTTTACTGGCTCTTGAAGCCTTGTTCTTCACCCAAAGTTAACCTTGTTGGAGCTGAAGCCCCAGAGGATAACTTGGCTCAGCCTTGCCCACAGAGGTGTGGTGAGGAGACACCCTGTGCCCCAAGGAGTAGGACACAATGGAATTAAGCCTGGGTGATCAAGCACCTACCAAGTGCCGCCATGTACTAGATGTTTTAGATTGATGCTATCAAGCAACCCTTGCTTTAACTTTGAAGCATGTTAAACATCTTATCTATGTTTGAAGATCCCTCCCTGGACGCTGGAGAGCTTCCCCAGTGTGTCCTTGCACCCCCAGGTAATCAATTAATACAAGCACTGGGTACAGTCAGAAGCGCAGGAGGGTGAGAGAATTCACCAGAGCCAGAGCGGGGAGCAGAACAGGCAGACTGATGAAGTACACTGCTGAGGGGAGCAGTGGGCTGCAGGAGAGGTCTGCACGCCATGTGGGACCCTTGCCGGCGGCCGGGGATCGAACCAGCGCTGCAGAGGCTGCGGGCAGCTTCGCAACCCAGCACTCAACCCCAGACTCCGTGGTGTCAGGGACTGTGTCCCCGCACCCAGGTGCATAGGCATCTTGGTGACTTTCGGTCCCCTTTTTTCTCTTTCTCCGCAGATCTTACTTCGATAGTTCCTCAAGCCCATGAAGATGCTGTGTCAGACTCTTCACCAGTTTGGCCAGAAGTTGGTCCGCAGGCGGCCCCTGGAGCCGAGAGAGGGGTCGGAGAGCCGCTTGGCCCGCTGCCTCAGCACCCTGGATCTGGTGGCCCTGGGCGTGGGCAGCACCCTGGGGGCAGGGGTGTACGTCCTGGCCGGCGAGGTGGCCAGGGAGAAAGCGGGCCCCGCCATCGTCCTCTGCTTCCTGCTGGCCGCCCTGTCTTCGGCGCTGTCCGGGCTCTGCTACGCGGAGTTCGGCGCCCGGGTGCCGTGTTCCGGCTCTGCGTACCTCTACAGCTACGTGACGGTGGGCCAGCTGAGCGCCTTCATCACTGGCTGGAACCTCATCCTCTCCTACGTCATCAGTGAGTCATGGGGCCGGGGGAAGGTGTGGGGGACACCAGGGAGTTAAGATCAGGAAAAGAATCGGGGAGCTGGGCAGCCGTAGCGGTCCTCCCGGTTCCCGAGCATGTTACCCCCTTGCGAGAGCTGTGGGTGATCATGCGGGAAACCCCAACTCATGCTGCGCACCCCTGTCCTGCCCTTCTTGCCTGACTGGAGCAAGAATGAGGAAGAAGAGGGAACTGCGGGCAGTGGGGAAGAGTATTTGTGGGCGAGGGGGTGACAAGCGTTAGGAGCCCCATTCCCATATGTCACTGACCTCTCCTCAGCTCCCCCGTGAGACTCCCTGCTTCACCTGCCTGAAATGTTCAGCCTCATCTGCCAGCCCTTTCTGTTCCGCTTTCCCGTTTTCCAGTCCTGCGTACTTCTTTATTTCTTGTTTTAGCACTGAAAGAATTTGGGTTTTTTGTTTTTTAAATTAATTAATCAATTAATACAAGCACTGGGTACAGTTCAGAAGCACAGGAGGGTGAGAGAATTCACCAGAGCCAGAGCGGGGAGCAGAACAGGCAGACTGACGAAATACGCTGCTGAGGGGAGCAGTGGGTGGCAGGAGAGGTCTGCGCGCCATGTGGGACCCTTGCCGGCGGCCGGGGATCGAACTGGTGCTGCAGAGGCTGCAGGCAGCTTCGCAACCCAGCACTCAACCGCTGCGCCACCCGGAAGGCCCTGAAAGATTTTGTTTTTTTAATTTTGCCATATATCAGTTTCTCGATTCTGTAAACCATTTGTATCTTCTCTCCTTACCCCATGAAAAGATTCTCTTCAAGGTTAGGTATTTTGTTTCCCCCCAAATATATACAAGTTGTGTGTTGTCAAGTGCTGGAGACCAGCTCCAGCTAGAAGTCATTTCAGGGATCTCAGAAAGGAGAGGACAGAGTCGGTGAAATCTTTTCTCTTTCTCTCGGAGGGCTGAGGGGAAGTGGAGCGAGGTAGGAGTGAGGAAGACACAGACACCTTAGTTCATGCAAGTGTCTCCTGCTGAGGGTCTCAGCGGGTCTTTATTTATACCTTAAGGCGAGCAGTGGGATTACATCAGTGTACGCACTGAGGCAGAACAGAAACAATACATATTTTCTCATGAACATGCAAAGACTCCCTAGGTCTCACACCTAAAGGGCAATTCTCTGGTAACCTTGAGAACAATTAGTTTCCTAGGTACAGCTCATTTACTAACATGATCAACCATACAGGACAGCACAGTATTTGTCAGCAATTAAACTTTCCCAGTTACAAAGTGGGTGCAAAATTCCTATTCTATATTTAATTACTAAAATCAGTCTATCTCCTAGCACTCAATTAACTTGGTTAATATATTGATTAATTCAAAGTGGTCTGAAACAACTCATCAAATTTAAGTAAGTTCTGAAGTCTAACTCCTGACTAGAAATTCCTAACCTCCACACGGCCTGTGAACTATTGACCTCTTGCAAACACCAGGAAAAGTACTGCTGGTGCAAACATGCACCCCGTGTCAGGCTATGGCTTCCAAGCACAGTTGGTTCAGGGCAGCTTGTTCTCCATAGTTCTCAGGGCTGGAACATTTCTTTCCTAACTATACCTTTTGCATTATTTACTTTCTATGATACTAATTCAGGTGCAAGAATAACAAATCAATTAATGTCTAGGTCTGAATTGAATTTTCATATGCCAATTAATGACTAACTAACTTCTGCATTAACCAAGAACAAAGAGGAGAGCTTTAGCAGGCGTTGCAATGGAGACTCCCTAGTTCAGATCTTCTTTGGGAAGTGCAAGAACTCCCCTCTTCTGGGAAGTACAACTTTCCCTCTTCAGGGGAGCACAGGAACTTCCCGCTTCTCGGGAGTCTCCCCCAATGCCCGGACCATGTCAAGAGACAGCATGGGAGGCGCAGCCTGCCACAGTCAAGGATGCCCCTCTCCTATCTGCAGATGCTGCCATTGTGGCCAGGGCCTGGAGCACCACCTTTGACCACCTGATTGGAAGCCACATCTCCAGTGCCCTGGAGGGAAGCCTCTCTCTGCATTTACCTCATCCTCTGGCCAAGTACCCAGACTTTTTTGCCCTGGGCCTGGTGCTGCTGCTCACTGGTGAGGCAGGGGTCTGCACTAGGCTGGGGACTTGGGGTGTGGAAGGGATTAGGGTGGGGGTGGTTTGGAGTTGGCCACCATGGATTGGAGACAGAGAAAGGGTCTGTGGTGGGAGAGATGGAAGACAAGTCAGGCCCCTTATTAGCACTGATCACTTTGATGACATTCTGGGCTGGATTCTATTGTGCGGGCAACTCTTGGGCAGCTCTTCTGGGCATTGCAGGTTTTTTTTAATCATTGTAGGATGCTGAGCATCGTCCCTGGTCTCCACTCACTGGATGCTGGCCACACCCACTACCCTAGTGACAGCCAGACTTTCTAGTCACAACCAAATGCCACGTGGGAGGCGAATTTGCCTCTAGTAAGAAACGATGAATTAGAATGACAACATTTTCCTCTGTACTGAGACCAAAGATGTTTGTAATTGTGTTAATAGTCACATAAAACCCAACCCTATTCTCCCCAGACTTACTGCAGTAGAACTGACTTTTAGTGGGGTGTAAATTGTAAAGGTACAGAGTGATTATTTGATATATGTAAGGTATACAATTTAGTGGCAGTAAGGACCTTCACATTGTCATGTGAACATCACTTCAATCTGGTTCCAGAACCTTCTCATCAACTCAAAGGTAACCCTGTACTCATCAGCATTCACTGCTCGTTCTGCTTCCCCTGGTAACCACCAGTCTGCTTACTTCTCTGTGGGTTTAACGGATGTTGGATGTTTCATATTCCACCTCCCGCACAGGAATACTGGCTCTGGGAGGCAGAGAATCCGCTCTGGTCACCAAAATCTTCACGGGTCTGAACCTCTTGGTTCTGGGCTTCGTCATCACCTCCGGCTTCATAAAGGGAGATGTGCACCACTGGCGGCTCACGGAGCGGGACTACAAGTCGGCCGCTGAGCACAATCACACCTCCAGGTTAGGGGTCACTGGGCCACACTGGTGGCTGTGGGGGTGCAGGGTCGGGAATGTGGTGGGGAAGGAGATGTAGGCCGGGGACCAGGTGATGGGGGGGATGGAGCCGAAGGCTCCGGGGTGACCCCAGGAGAGAGGGTTGAGCACCCCCATGTTTTCCCTCCCTGCAGCTTGGGCCCTCTGGGCTCTGGAGGGTTTGTACCTTTTGGCTTTGATGGGATTCTCCGAGGAGCAGCCACCTGTTTCTACGCCTTCATTGGTTTCGAGTGCATCGCCACCACGGGTAACAGTCGTTCTGTGTCACATGAGTGCGCTGGGCCCAGCCTGCCGTGTCTGGGGCCGAGGGGCTGGACGGCAGCCTGGTCCGGGATGGATGGACAGAGGCTTCTGTTCTAACGTGTTTCCTTCTGCCCGTCCTGCAGGAGAAGAGGCTCGAAATCCTCAGCGGTCCATCCCCCTGAGCATCGGCATCTCACTCTTCATCTGCTCTTTGCTATTTCTTGGGGTCTCAGCGGCTCTCACGCTGATGGTGCCCTACTACCAGATTCGCCCTGACAGCCCCCTGCCCGAGGCATTCCTCAAGATTGGGTGGGGCCCTGCCAGATACGCAGTGGCTGTTGGCACCCTCTGTGCGCTCTCCTCCAGGTCAGTGTCAGCTTCCTCCCGGGGGGCCTGAGATGCTGGGGTCCAGCCCTAGGCTTGGAGAGGAGAGGGAGACACCGTAGTCCACGCGGGCTGCCCGGCAGGCGCCCTGGTCTGTCCTGCTCCCACGTGTCCTGACACACGCTCCCTTTCCCCGCCAGCCTCCTGGGGTCTATGTTCCCTATGCCCCGGGTGATCCACGCGATGGCAGAGGACGGGCTCCTTTTCCGGGGACTCGCCCGCATCCATGACCGCACCCGTACCCCCGTTGTGGCTACCATAGTCTCAGGAATTCTTGCAGGTAAGTAACAGAAGCCCACTCCTCCTGTGGTCAGTTTCCTACATGCGCCGATGTCCAGTAGTTCTCACCCCTCCCTGCCCTGTCTGTGCCCTGTTTCCAGCACTCATGGCGTTTCTCTTCGAGCTCACTGGCCTCGTGGACCTCACAATCACTGGCAGCTTGTTTGCTAATGGACTCTTGGCCTTCTCTGTTCTTGTGCTCAGGTGAGTCTGATTGGAGGGATGTGTTGGACCCTTTGGGGCTGACTGGGGCTAATCCTCTCTACCTTCCTGCCTTCTCGTAAGTGGTGCTGTTATGCTTAGGGTGGGGAAAAGATATCAGTTCCCCTCTCTGATGTTGGGTGAGGAGGGCTGGCTTTAACCTTGCCTTAACACATCTCATTCAGATACCAACCAGAGCAGAATGAGAAAATGGAAGTGGAAATGATTGTCTTGAAACCTAAAGTTGACGGGCATTCTTTGGAATCTGTACCTGAAGCTGGAACCTCCAAGACCCTAAAGAGTCTGTGTAAACCTCTGAGTGCTGCTCCCACTCTGAAATCTGGCCAGATTGTCTATGGATGTGCCTTACTGCTTGGTGAGCAGTGGAATTTATTTTTGGAGTATTCTAAAATTGACAGCATGGGGTGGGGGTGTGTGACTTCGGCAGCAAAGGAAGAGTTTTAGAGAATACAGTCCTTATGGGTGGTTTTGGAGTGGGACTAAAGCCAGAACTTGACATATGGCTTCTGATTTTTGACCTGCTCTCCATCTTGACCTTTGCAGTCCTCCTGCTGACGTTTTTATGCCTGATACTGTCCCAACTGTCCAGTCATCTGTCCTCTGGAGAGCCAGCATTTATAGTAGGGACCGGGCTGCTGCTTGTGGTCATTTTCAGGATCACTGTCATCATTTGGAGACAGCCCCAGAACCCCACTCCTCTTTACTTCAAGGTAGGTGGCCTTCTGTCCCTAACTTCCACTTGCGTGGAGAGCTCTCTGCATGCCTTGAGGACTAAACATTCTTTGCTGGACCAGGTGAGAAAAGGATCCTTGATCAAGTCAATGGGTCATTCCCTGATCCACATGCAATTGCTGGTTCACCTGCCAATTTTTATCCCCGAGGAAACATGTCACGGGATACCCAGTATGAGTGGGCAGGGAGTGCACACCCTGAACAGAACTGGGGTCTTCTTCCCACCAGGGGGAGGACATCTTCCATGGAGAGATCTGCGTGTGTTCATTGCACTGACTTCTTCCACAGGTGCCTGCTGTGCCTGTCATCCCACTGTTAAGCATCTTTGTGAATATTTACCTGGTGATGCAGATGACTGCTGGGACCTGGGCCCAATATTGCATCTGGATGGTGATTGGTAAGTGACTTTGTGTGTCACAGGCCTCTTGAGTGATAGAACCCAACCCTCTTTCAACACTGCTACCTTTGCCCAAAGCTGTCTCACATGCCATAACCTGCCTCTCATTTCTTATTTCCCTAACTAGGATTTGCCATATACTTTGGATATGGGGTTCAACACAGCTTGGAGAAGGAAAGTGATCAACATGTACCAGTCTCCATTTCCAAAGCTTTTGACAAATACATGCCCAATGAGGAATTTGTTTAGCTGGAAGAATATATGCTATGCTGAGTCCCTCTTACCTGGCAGTACCTTCTGGTTCAAGAGTTTGAACTTGGGTGGGGTATCTGGTGGGATTTATAATGAACCCTGTATTTATTTTCAGTGGACAAAATGCATTGTCTGTTGTACAGTTTTATTTATTTATTTTTTGTTGGACAGTTTTAAAATAAATTTTAAAAGCATAAAATATATACAAAATAGTACTTACTTCCCATTGTAGGGCAAGTCCAATTTTAAAAGGTGAGTACAATGTAACCTGCACTCAAAGGAAGAAATAAAACATTATCTACTTATAATAAGTGTCTTTTTGCACCTGCTTCTTTCAAAAACACAGATTATCAAGTGAGAAGGAAATGCAGGTTTCAACTTAGCTATCTAAAGTTGCATTTTATTTTTTAATTTTTAAAAATTTTTAAAGAAGATTTATTTATTTATGCATGCAAGAGCTGGGGTACAGGCAGAGGTGTCGTGGGTAAGAGACAGTGGAGAACAGAACAGGCGGACTGACTGAAATCCACTGCTGAGGGCAGCATCGGGGAGACAGGAGGGGTCTGCTGCACCATGTGGGTAGCTCCCTGGGCGGGGATTGAACTCGTGCTGCAGTAACTGGTGATGGCTTCATAGTGCTGCATCTTAACCCCTTGCACCACCAGGGAGAACCCCTGATTATTCAATTTATTCCCAAGTGCAGCAAGTAGATGAGGGAGAAGCCTGAAACTCTCGCCTCCTCCACGAACAAAAGCCATGCTCCCCCTGCTTTTCCGCCGCTGCCCGGGGTGCAGGTTTAACCGTCCCCAAATTCCCAATGGGCCCGGCCATCTCCCCTCCTCGGCCCCAGAAGCACATCAGGTCTTCAGACAACACAGCTCATCACCCGGAAGAACAAACGCCCTTTGTGGCGCCCAACAGGCGGGGCAGAGGCTCGTGGAAAACGCAGTCAGCGTTGCCATGGCCGTTCCCGCAAGGGGTTCTGGGAAGGCGTCTTCCGGGTTCCCGATGCGCAGGCGCGGCCCGCTCCAATGGCTCCTACATTTTCGGAGCCGGCTTCACGCTTCCTGGTCGTGAGGGTTTGCTGGGGGCGATGGGGGGCGCTCAAAGCGGGGCGGAGAGGGCGGGAGGCTGAGGACAGGAGTGCAGGCGTGGGGGCGAAGGTGAAGCCCCATTTGGGGTCATAGTCGGTTTGGGAGCAGAAAGCCGGGTGGTTTTGGGGCGCAGGTCCCCACGCAGGTGTGAGTCATGGGCCTGGGTAGGTCCGGGGGAGGATTGGGGGCTCGGGGCTCCTCAATCCAAGGGCCAGCGCCTGGGTGCGTTCCGTTATAATTTCCCAGACGAGGATGGACGTTACTGCGCCCAGTTGTGCTTCCAGCAGCTTTAGGGCTGGGCGGTGGCGTCTAAGACTGAGAATCCCAGAAGGCTGAGAACCCAGCGAGGCGGGCTGGGGCTGCAGAGAGGGCGAGGTGGAGGCCGGTGTCTGCAGTCGAGTTCCTGCTCTGCCTGCCAGGAAGCGACCAGAGCGAGGTGCCCGGTGCATGGGCGACGGGCGGGCATCTGTAAGGTGCGAGCTCTAGGCCTGACAGTGAGGTGCCAGACCCAGAAGAAACTGCTGGGAAGTGGATGTGAACCTGGCCTTGCAGTGAGGAGGTGTCTGGACCCCACTTGCGCGTTGTGGTGCTTCCCGCTCCTGTGCGATTGTACAGAAAGGTGCACAATTCCTAGTGTTCAGGGTCTGAGCTTTGTAAGGGATATTTGGGCTCTGGGCCATGGTCCGTGCTGGGTGATGACCTCCTTGAGACAGAGTGGGGAGCAGAATCGGCGGATCTACTGAAATCCACTGCTGAGGGGAGCAGCAGGAGACAGGAGAGGTCTGCTGTGTCATGTGGGTCAGCTCCCTGGCTGGGAATCGAACTGGTGCTGCAGTGGCTGGGGATAGCTTCATAATGCTGCGTCTTAACCCCTTGCGCCACCAGGAAGGCCCCAGAAATCTTTTTTTAATGTCTTTGATTTTCTAGCCTATGCGGTTTATTTTGTTTAAGTGTTTTATCCTTAATCTCTCTTTTTTAAATGCAACTTTTTTATTTTTATTTTTCTTTATTTTTCTTTTTTTAATAATAAATTTTATTTTTATATTCCCCATACAATTGCAACCCCCCCATTCTGACCCCAATCCCTCCCCTCCCGCCCCCCACCCCCAAAAAAGTGTCTCTGGTTCATAGTTTTTTGTTGATTTTGATTTTCACTTTCTTATAGTTATTCATTTTCCTGGTCCCTTATTTAAGTTTTCTAGATTCCTGCTATGAGTGAGACCATTAAATGCAACTTTTTAAAATGCAACTAATTTCTCTTTAAATGTTTTCCTTTAGCTATTCGTGGGATTTAACTGGCTGTCAGGTCGTGCCTTGCATTTGCTGCTTTCTATATAGTTAATTGCTCTTGACTCTCAAAGCATTTGTCATTGAATTTTTCTGTAAGAATCAGAACAACCTTTCAGTCTTAATGAGATAAAAGGGACAAATGATTTATGAGTTTCCTAATCCTGGAAAACAACAGATTTCTAGAAATCTCATTATTCCCTTTCTTCCCTGTAGTCACTCTGGCTTCCTTTCCTGCTGTGCTCATCATTTTCTATAGTGCTTTGTCACAGGCCGTGACTAGTATGGAGAAACACTGCTCAGTTCCCCCTCCCTCTTTCTAAAACTAATTCCAGGAGGTGAACATTATTCGACTTAGTATCAGTTGTGTTACTTATGTGCCAGTAGGTACATCAGTACCAGGGATCAGAAGTCATGTTAGGATGATTTATTGAGCCACTGGATACCAAAAATCTCTGTTTCCTTGCTCAGCTTCTTTGTTGATTGTTTTTATTCAATTACTGTGCCAATTCATTTAACAGTTAGGTCAGCAATAAAGTTTCTCTATATGCGAAAACACAAAAGAATGAACGTCCAGACTTGCAGTTCTTCTCATTCAGGCTGATGCATACAACTGAGGAGAAATGTGCCATTGCAGGAGATGGTGACCTTTGAGGACGTGGCTGTGAACTTCACCCAGGAGGAGTGGCAGGACCTGGATGATGGCGACAGGACCCTTTACATGGAGGTAATGCTGAACATCTACCGAAGCCCGGTGTCATTGGGTGAGTGAAACCCCAAGTAACTTACTAGCTAGTGCAAGCACTGTTGTTTCCATTGGTAAATGTAAAAACTGTCTGAAATTAGATGTTATTTACATTTACAATTGCAGTCTAAGAAAAACATGGCTGCTTCCCTCTCTAATAAGAGATTCCAATTCGCCCTTCATTCTACAACACTAAAAATCTGCTGTTGTTCTTTTTTTTTTTTTAAAGATTTATTTATTTATTTATACAAGCACTGGGTACAGTCAGAATCGCTGGAGGGTGAGAGAATTCACCAGAGCCAGAGCGGGGAGCAGAGCAGGCAGAAGGACCAAAGTACACTGCTGAGGGGAGCAGCGGGCAGCAGGAGAGGACTGTGCGCCATGTGGACCATGTGGGACCCTCCTCCAGTGGCCAGGGAGCAGCCCGGGAATTGAACCAGCGCTGCAGAGGCTGCGGGCAGCTTCACAACCCAGCGCTCAACCGCTGCGCCACCGGGGAGGCCCTGTTGTCATAACTCATAGTCTGTGAAACTTAGGGAGGTTGGTTATCAAAAAGCCCACATTATTTCATAGCAGCAGGACTTTGTGGAAGCTCTCCTGCCTGCTAGTAACTATGCAGTTGCCTCTTTCTCTTTCTCCTTTTCCTAATGAGCGTGTCTTTTAAAATGTAAAAACAACAACAGGGCTTTGCATCACCAAACCTGAGGTGATCATCAGAATGGAGCAAGGAACAGTGCCAGGGTCTGAAAAAGGACCCCCAAATCAGAGCCACTAGGGTCAGTTGGTACGAACTAGCCTGGAAGTTGGGAAGAGGGGAACCCAGCAGATGTTAGCCATACTGAGCTGTATTTCCTATATTGGCTTTCCCAGTTGCAAATCACAGGACAGTTAGTCTCCACGTATCACACACATTCATTATTCTGTTTCTTAAGTGTGGCCTCACATATAAATCCCTCTACTCCCCATTTTTATTTAATGAACATAAATTTTCTTAGGTTACACAAAATCCAATCACTGATTGATTGCCTCCTCTTGTGGTATGTTGATCAGTCACTTTCTCTGCATTCTCTGTTTCTTCCATTTCTATATTTTCATGGTCTGTTTTTTTTTCTTTTTTAAAATTTGTTTATACAAAAACCAGGGTACAGGACAGATGTGAGGGAGGGTGCGAGAATCCACCAGAGACAAAGTGGGGAACAGAATAGGCAGACTGACAAAATACATTACCGAAGGGAGCAGCGGGCACTACAGGAGAGGTCTGCTGCGCCATGTGGGACCCTCATCGGCCAGCGGAATCAAACCGGTGCTGCAGAGGCTTCGGACAGCTCCACAGCACTGCGCTCAACTGCCTGCGCCACCAGGAGAAGCCCCTTCATTTTTTTTTAAAGATTAATTTATTGGGCCTCCAGTGGCACCAGGGGTTAAGATACAACCTCTGAAGATGTCCACAGCCTCTGCAGCACGAGTTCAATCGCTGGCCCACCAGGGAGCAACCCACATGGCACAGCCTCACCTGCCTCACCTGCCTCTCCTGCCTCACCTGCTGCTCCCCTCAGCAGTGTACTTTGGTTAATCTGCCTGTTCTGTTCCCAATTCTGTCTCAGGTGAATCCTCTCACCCCCCACACCTCTGACCTGTACCCCAGCTCTTGTATGCATAAATAAAGAAATCTTAAAAAAAGATTAACTTATTTATGCATACAAAAGGTGGGTGCAGGCCAGGGATGCAGGGGTGAGAGGATTCACCAGAGACAGAGCAGGGATTGGAACAGGCGGATCTACTGAAATAACACTGCTAAGGGGAGCAGCGGTCAAGACAGGAGAGGTCTGCTATGCCATGTGGGTCACTTCCCTGCTGGGGATTGAACTTGTGCTGCAGTGGCTGCAGATAGCTTCGTAGTGCTGTGTCTTAACCACTTGTGCCACCAGGGAGGTCCCAGTAATGTCCTTCATTTTATGGAGCCTTTATTCTGGTGAGAAAAGTGAAAAATCCACATGTTAAATAAGGAAATAACAGTCACAAAGAATATATAACTAGGATGTGGGAAACAATGATGGGATGTTATTTTAGAAAGTGGCACTTTCTAAAGTATTTCAGTCAATCTGCCTGTCCCCCACTCTGTCTCTGGCAAATTCTCTCAACCCTCCCCGCCCCCACCTCTGGCCTGTACCCCAGCTCTGGTATGCATAAATAAGTAAATCTTTTTTTTTTTTTTAAAGAATTGGGTAAAGAAATGATAGGTGCAAAGCTCTGAACTGATACCTACAACTAGAGAATGGGTGAATTTATAGATTGAAATTTCGTCATGAATTGGAAATGAGAAAAACAAATTTTTTTTGCTTCTGATTAAAATACCTTAATATAATTTGTTGTGTTAAGTTATTAGGACTAAGGGCCTCCCTGGTGGCGCAAGGGGTTAAGATGCAACCTATGAGGCTGTTCGCTGCCTCTGCAGCTTGAGTTTGATCCCCAGCACCCCCCCCCCCCCGCCAGCCAGGTAATTACCCACATGGTGCAGCAGACCTCTCCTGCCTCTCCCGCTGCTCCCCTCAGCAGTGTACTTGGGTGAATCTGCCTGTTTTGTTCCCCACTCTGTCTCTGTCTCCTCACCCCCACCTCTGGCCTGTACCCCAGCTCTTGTATGCATAAATAAATAAATCTTTAAAAAATTTATAGGGGTAATATATGTATATATTACCATAGCAAAACCCATTTATTAATTTTATAAAAATCTTGTGCTAGTCATATAAATGGTAACTTTATCTGTGTTTTGCATTCCACAAAAAAGTAAAGTGTTGTTAATACATATGGTATTTTTGTCTCCTTTCAGATGTTCAGAATGTGGATAACCTGATTGAAACCAATCTGGAAAATTGGGATAGGCATATTTTTAATGTACTCAACAGGAGTCAAACATCAATTAATGGGAGAAATGACTTAGTAAAAACATATAATTAAAGCTCTACCCATATTTTGAAACATATTATAAAAAATTGGAACTTACTCAGGAGTGGTGCCTTAAGACTTTACCATACACAAGAAGTTGTTTTACCATGGTGACCCTGTTGAGATTCATGATGGAAGGATATGTGAGAGTCGTGATATAACCTTGAGATCTCTTAAATATCCTGAGTATTCTAGTCTCCATCAGATGGTTCAGATGCTTCAGCAGCATTCTGGACTAGGGAATGCCTTTAACAAGGAGGCAGTGATCTTTACAGATAGGAGGGCTCTTATTGGAGAGAATATCTATAAATATAAGGAAGGGCCTGCCCGGTGGTGCAGCAGGTTGAGCGCTGCACTGCTCTATGAAGCTGTCCACAGCCTCTGCAGCGCGGGTTCATTTTCCAGCCAGCCAGGGAGAAACCCACATGGCGTGGCGTGGCAGACCTCTCCTGCCTTGCCCGCTGCTTCCCTCAGCAGTGTCTCCGGTCTGTCTGCCTGTTCTGCTCCCCAGTCTGTCTCTGGTGAATCCTCTCACCCTCCCGTGCATCTGACCTGTACCCCCATTCTTGTAAGTCTTGTGAGAATTCAGCCCTCAAGTGACATCAGCAAACTCGTAGAAGTCAGAAATCATATGAGTGTAAGGCGCATAGTCAATCTTTGTGCTGTATGTCAGTGCCCAAGAAAGCACACAGGACTGAAGCCATATGAATGTAAAGAATGTAGAAAAATTGTCAAGTTGAATTCAGAGCTTACTGACCATGGGAGAACTCACACAGGAGAGGAATTCTACCAGTGTATGGAATTTTGGAAAATGTACGAGTGGTGGTCAGACCTCACAGTGTACCTGAGAACTCGCCCAGAAGAGAAACTCAGTGTAAGGAATGTAGAAAGTGTTTCAAGAGAAAGTCACAACTCACTAGCCATCAGAGAACTCACACTGGAAAGAAACCTTTTGCATGCCAAAAATGTACCAAAACTTTCTACCAGAAGTCAGTCCTCAGTAGACACCAGATGATTCACACAGGACAGAAACCCTATGAATGTAAAGAATGTAGCAAAAATTTCTACTGGAAGGCACACCTCACTGTACATCAGAGAATACACAGAAAAGAGGCCCTATGAGTGTAAAGTATGTAGCAAAATGTTCTGGAGGTCATACCTCACTGTACATTAGGGAACACACACAGAAAGCCTTTCGAATGTGAAGATTGTTAGAAAACTCTTCTGAAATCATGCTAAGTATACAGCAGAGATATCACACAAGAGAAAAAACTCTGAATGTAAAGAATGTGGGAAAACTGAAGTTCATCCTCACTAGAAATCAGTTCACCAAGAGTGAACTTTGATGTCAATAATACAGGAAAATGTTATCCCAGGACTCGACCCTTCTTATCTCAGGCAATTCACAGGGCTGTGATTTTCTATGGTAGAGACTGATCATGTCTTGTCACAACTCATTCTTTTTTTTTTTTTTTAATCAACAGCCTGCAGTTTTCATTCTCGCCTATGGGTGAAAGTCCTTGCACTGAGCTGTGACCAGAAACTAAACACAGACTTCAACATTGCTTCCAAGTCAGTACACAAACCATCCCCTCCCTCAGTTTTCTTGTCTTGGAGACCTGATGTAAATGTCCCCCAGGTCTGCTGGAAGTAATAGGGTGAAGAAGGCACCATGTTTTCAAACTGAGTATTCATTGGAGAGAGCCTTACCTCAAAAGTCCCCATGTGTACTTAATCTGAGTGAGATTGAACATTTGCTGTGTTTAGCCCTTCTGTTTGTGAGCTGCTTAAAATGTAATGAGTACATTGCAGGCAGTTTACGAATGTACAACAGCCTTCTGTGAGAAGTTACCAATTCTTGTGTAGGAATTTCCCACAGGAAAGAAAATAGTGAGTATGAAGTAGAATCTTAAAATTTTATCTTTATTCTGCTGATGTTTTCTACAGTACTTCCAAACATATATCAGAATTCCTATTGAATTTTGGTAATTGCCTGAAAGTCTTCAGATACAAATGTTAAATATTGTGAAGAATAAATTTTTTAATACTTGAGTATAACCTACTGTTTTCGTTATGGGAGTGATTTTTTTTCCTCTCAGAGGAAAATTTTCAATGCTTTTTTGTGTTGGCAGTGTCACTTCTGCCTATTGTATTGTTGGGTGCAGCTGCAGAGTCCTTGAAAATTCTGAGCAGTGGAGAAATAGGAGCTACCTCTTGATGGAAATGTTATAGTGACACATAGCAAAGACTGGGAGGAGATGTGTCAGGGTGGCCCTTTTTGGAAATGTGTTACAAGGATTTCCTCCCACTGTCTATGTGACATTCCCAGCACAGTGGACCATAAACCATTTATGAGCACAGAGTAGATGCTCACAAAACATGTTTTTGGTGAATGTTCTCATGATTTTCCAAATCGAGACTTGCTCAAACATGATTGCCTTTCCAGCCCCGTGTACACTTTATTTTTTCTTAATATTTATTTTTAATTTTTTTATGCATACAAGAACTGGGGTGTAGGTCGGAGGTGTGTGTGTGTGGTGGTGGTAGGGGGGAGTGAGGATTCACCAGAGACAGAATGGGAATCAGAAAGGTGGATCAACTGAAATACACTGCTGGGGGGAGCAGTGGGTGAGACACGAGAGGTCTGCTGTGCCATGTGGTTCAGCTCCCTGGCCAGCAACTATACTCAGGCCACAACAGTGAGAGCATAGAGATTTAACCCCTAGTCTCAGGGAGGCCTGAGACATTCTTATGTCCTTGGTCCTCTGTCCATTCTCTCTGTCCAGGGTCCTACAGCAGAAAGAATTATCTCTGAATTTATGGCCTGCAAGTACTGAAAAGTCCCCCTTGTGAGAGATCCCCATGGGATGTGTTGATCTTCCAGATCTCCATGTGGACTGGGGTTAGGCCTGGGATGTCAATGGAGATGGAGAATAGGTAATAATTAGGTCTTCTGTGGATGCAGAGTCCATGTTATGTAGACTAGGCTAGAGAAATACACAAATTAACTAGGGTGAGTGGAAGGACATCATGGGATGACTAATTTTTTTTTTGTGGGACCCTTGCTGGTGGCCGGGGATCAACTGGTGCTGCAGAGGCTGCGGGCGGCCTTGCAACCCAGCGCTCAACCGCTGCGCTACCAGGGGAGGCCCTATAATTTCTTTTTTTTAAAAGATTTATTTATTTATTTATACAAGCACTGGGTACAGTCAGAGGCGCAGGAGGGTGAGAGAATTCACCAGAGCGATGAAGTACACTGCTGAGGGGAGCAACGGGTGTCAGGAGAGGTCTGCGCGCAATGTGGGACCCTCTGGTGGCCGGGGAGCAGCTGGGGATTGAACCGGTGCTGCAGAGGCTGCGGGCAGCTTTGCAACCCAGTGCTCAATCACTGTGCCACCAGGGAGGCCCAACCCCTATAATTTCTTAATGATAGTAATTGTCAACTTGATGTGATGCTGAGGCCCACAGGTTTTTATGTATCATATGTGTTTTATATCCAAGAATGTGTGTTCACCATACTAGAGTTAAATGAGTAGCAGCTACACCTAGAGGAAGTCTAGTTTGAGTGTGTAGCCTGCCTTGTCTGAGGGTGGAGCAGTTTACCACTATAAGATGACTACTGGTCATCAGAAACATATAATTCTCTCCTGTTTAATAGCTTTCCACAAAAGCAAGTGGCAGTACATTCTGGCAGCCCCTAAGGGGTTTCCACAGAGTCTGCGCTTGTGTATATGACAAGTGTCTCCTTGCGTTCGCCTGTAGCTTCCTCCTGTAGAAAAGGTCTCCATTTTATTACAGTCCCAGAATTTCTGACATCCAAAACATGGACATTTCAACTTTCAATATTATTTTAATATCCTCTGATCATAGAGGCAGTCTCAATGCTAGTCAATACCTCTCAGATGGCGGTATCCTGCCACAGCATCCAAACATTTTCTGATCTGAAATCCTAGTAGTTACACAAGGCAGCGTGGAAAGGCTGTTGCTGTGAATTCCAATGGACATAGCTGTGCGTCACAGAAATTTTCTGAACTGAAATCCCAGTACTCGCTGCAAGACAGTGTTCAAAAGCTGTTCCCATGAATTTTAGTCCACCTTGCTGTGGAAAAATTATCTGATCTGAAGTCCCAGTAGTGGCCACAAGGCGGCGCTCAAAAGCTGTTGCCATGAATTACATTCTGCATTGCTGTGCAAAAAGTCTCTGGTCTGAAATCCCAGTAGTGGCCACAAGGTGGCGTTCAAAAGCCATTCCCATGAATTCTAGTCCACCTTGCTGAGCAAAAATTTTCTGGTCTGAAGTCCCAGTGGTGGCCACAAGGCGGCGCTCAAAAGCTGTTCCCATGAATTTTAGTCCACCTTGCTGTGGAAAAATTATCTGATCTGAAGTCCCAGTAGTGGCCACAAGGTGGCGCTCAAAAGCCATTCCTATGAATTCTAGTCCACTTTGCTGTGGAAAAATTTTCTGGTCTGAAGTCCCAGTAGTGGCCCCAAGGCGGCGCCAAAAAGCCGTTCCCTTGAATTCTTTTCTGCTTTGCTGTGCAAAAAAATTTTTGGACTGAAGTCCCAGTAGTGGCCACAAGGCGGCGCTGAAAAGCCGTTGCCATGAATTATATTCTGCATTGCTGTGCAAAAATTCTCTGGTCTGAAGTCCCAGTGGTGGCCACAAGGTGGCGCTCAAAAGCCGTTGCCTGAATACCAATCTGCAGAGCTGTTCATTTTCTGAACGGAAGTCCCAGTATTCGCCACAAGGTGGCGCACAAAGACAGTAAAAGAAATAATTTGGTTTGTATCTCAAAGTAATATGGGGCAAATGAGAAAGAATAAGAGATTATGGAATTTATTCAGAGGTATTTTATGATACTTTTGAAAGCCAGAAAGAGGCTTTCCACTGGCGGGATCTGGGGGAAGGGGCAGCCACGGAGAGGCCAGCAGCCTCTGAAGCTGCCCCTGAAGCAGGCCAAGGACAGGGCAGGTAAGCGGGAGCAGGGGGAAGAGCAGAGCAGAATCCGCCGCGGTTGAGCAGGAAGGCCTGACACAGGCCAGCGCGG